GGTGAAACAAGGCGGCTATACAACGTCGAAGCACTATCACTTAACGCCAGCAGCATTCAAACTGTGTCTTATGCGAGCGCAACGTCGCGCTAACCAACCAGTCGATCCAGTTCGATATGCAGAGTACTATCTCTTACTCGAAAAGATCTTTGGTCTCTATCGAGAGTATCAAGAACACTATAATGCTAAGTTGCTTAAACTCAAGGATGGTAAGATCGATGAGATGGCTGGAGATATTAAAGAACTTATAAGCATGAACGTAGAGCTCAAGGACATTAACACTCAGCAGTCTAGCAAGATAGATACTTTGACTGAGATGAACACTCAGCAGTCTCTTGAAATCAAAGCTATCCTTGGTCATACGATTGATGTAAAGCGTGATCTGAAGGAGATGAGTGCTAAGTTTGATATGATGTTTGACTTTGTTGCCAGCATGGCGCGTTTCGCCTTACCTATGTGGAACGGTTCAAGTGTGTTCAAGACTCAGTTGGATCACTTGATCAAACAAAAGACCCTGACCTATGCGCTCACGCATCTTAAGGTTATGTTTGTTGTCGCATTCTATCGTATCGAGGAGGATAGTACTTACTTGATGGTTTATATCTGTTGCACTAACTTTGCAGATGTAGGTGCTCGCATCCGTAAGCTCTACAAAGAACACAACACGACCCCATCTGATGATCTAAAGATGACAATGCTACAACCAGAAGCAATATGTTTGATCACTCAGGAAATCAACTACGAAAGAGCGAACATCCATCAGCTAGTGTTTAACAATAGTGAAGCAGTTGTATATAACAATCGGCGCAAGTCCTATAGTATGGTTTATGACACGATTGATCCCAACGTTATCTTTACAAAGTTTGGTGAAATGGTAGATATACTACTTGAACAAGAGTTTCAGGGTTATCAGATGCGGCGTTCTCAAGTACTTGAAGATGATACATATGAAGTGAATGAAGACATCATTAGACACATTAAAGACTCAGACGATAAGTTCTTCGATCAGACCACGCCACTATGCAGAGAGTACATTGACCAATACACTCGACGAGACAAGACTACTGTTAATGGATACAAGCCAGTTGCCAAGATTCCTCATTCAAAGACGCATCGCTCGGACATCGTCTTAGCAGTATCGAATGTCATGTACCCGCTTCACAAGATCAACAAGATCCTAGATGCCGATAATGGAACAAATGAAGTCGCTACGATGATCAACACCGGAGTTATGTCAAAGCGCAACATGAAGTCGCTCTTCAAAACTACCAAAGCCGCGGCTGAAGCGGAAGACGTAGAGTTTGATGAAGAAACGCAAGAGCGCTTCAATGAAGTCAATGAAGATGATCTACCTGACACTGACGACGAAGACTTTGACTAGACTGTGC